ATCGACAGTTACTAAGTGTCGATCGACAGTTACTAAGTGTCGATCGACAGTTACTAAGTGTCGATCGACAGTTACTAAGTGTCGATCGACAGTTACTAAGTGTCGATCGACAGTTACTAAGTGTCGATTGCTAGTAAAAAGAGTAACTTTCCATGTCCCTAATGGGCCACCGTAGCTTCTTGATAGTCACACCAATTTAACCTTTTTTATCAAACAGGGTTATATTTAGCTAATCTCTTCTATAATCGGTGACGGATCTGAATAGATGGGGCCGAGGAATGGTGGCTAAGCCCCCTCCTAATTTTTAGGTCAAATAATTTAAAGCACAAAGGCCCAGCATTCATCATTCGGCTTGGCAAGGCCGGGCCCTCCTCAACATTTTCTTAGTGAAAACTACTAAAGATAAGGTTGTGTCAGGCTTCTGTATTACCAAAGGCTGTGTTCAGCTACCCTAGCTTAACTGTCAAGGCTGACAAGCCCAAATGAAGTAGCCTGTTCCTTGCTCTCAACTAGTGGGGAAGCTTTACTTGGTGACGATGAAAGGCACGCGAAAATATGAGCGCTTGGTCTGCCAGTTTCCTCCCGTTCTATTTTCGAGTTCGCGCATTCTCAATTTGCGAACTCGACTAGCTCAGAGCCTGGAACAGGTTAAGTGAAGCTAAGGAGGTGTCCACAGCTGCCATTGCCAGGGTGGTATGGCTGGCTGCAAGTAGCCAGCTCCCCACCCAACCTCGCCTCCAAAGCCAGTGAAAATCACCCTGGGGACGAGGTTGCTCTCTACCCGAACAACTTAAATCGCTCCCTGAAAATAGGAAGGAGAAGTTTGTGGCTGAAAAATTCTCTCTAAAGAAGTGATCTATCAATTTATTTTGAATCAGTCAGAGGAAAAGAAGCTTTTTGTATGTGGGTTTTGTAATAATAATTAACTAAATAGTAAAGAGATAAATATTTAAAAAAATAAATATTAAATAAAAAAGAAACTAGAAAAATAATTATTTACAAAAGTGATGGAAAAAAGGTACTATATAGTGCTTTGACACTGGTGGTAATTTTACAAAGCTGCATGTACGCCTTTGCGGATATATATGATATATACTTAAGATCTGCTAGGATCTGGCACCTTTCTTTTGTTGCCGGCGCTTGCTCATAGAACAACACTAGAAACTTAACACAAGATATTGGCTAACTCTATCCTTAGTTGTGTACTCTTCTTAAAAAACAGAATAATATTACTGTCACAGACTAGACTAGATACCGATAACTAACAACAATAACACTGGCATAAAATGAATTGAACAGGTAACGATTCTGTTATCTAATTTTAGTGTCACTTTTCCAGTCCAACCATCTTTATGCTCAGATCCCACAACTTCTTAGCTGCTTTATCATCCTGGGCACCCTTGGATGGCTCCACAATAGCGCAATCTTTCAGATACTTCCCGCTAACTCCTTCCATTTCTTCAGAAACGGCACAGTAGATGGTAGTTTGGGCTCCCTGTTCTACGGTCTTGAACATGTACCAGCGGACAGGGTATAGCAGAGCACTGCCCAGAAATGAGTGGCGTTGCAATTCAGTAGCAACAGCTCCTGGATGCAGGGCATTTACCGTCACGTGGGTACCCTCCAGGCGTTTGCTCAGCTCGCGAGTGAATAACACGTTTGCAAGCTTACTGTTATAATAGGCGGCCCAGCTGTCTTAGCTTTTTTCATAGTTAATGTCCTGAAAGTTTATCTTGCCACTACCCATTCCGTGAGCGGACGAAGAAACGATTACGATACGACTTGGCTGTGAGCGTTTCAGTCGGTCAAGGAGCAGTATCGTCAGCAAGAAATGCCCAAGATGATTCGTACAAAACTGCATCTCAAATCCTTCGTTTGTCTTCTGATACGGGCAGACCATCACTCCGGCGTTGTTAATCAGGATGTCTAGGCGGGGTTCGCTGTTGAGAACTTTGTCTGCAAACTTGCGAACTGACTCCAAAGAAGCCAGATCTATCTCCTCAAGAAAAATATTTGAATTTCCACTGCGTTCTTTAATTTCTTTCAGTGCCTCTTTACCCTTTTGTAGGTTTCTGCAGCCGATTATGACCCTCGCTCCACGCCTGGCTAAATCCACTGCGGTTTCTTTACCGATGCCAGTGTTTCCACCTGTGATAACCACGGTTTACCTTCGAGGCTGCTTTTGCTATTGCATTTTGGACCTTGGAAGTATCTTTTCCCTGTATAAAGAGCTGCAATTGCCGCTACACCGATCACAGCTGGAACAGCCATGATTTTCACACCTCCGCAGTCGATCTTATCAAGTGTTCAAGTGTTTACCTAAGGAGTCACGCTCTATGAATAAGCCTCGTCTCCATGCTAATTTTTTTTCCAAGGTTACCACCAAAGCAACGATCCCGTTGTGAGGGTCCCCTATTATTTTTCGTGCAGCGAGATTGGAAATATTTTTCCTCGAAAATTTGATTTAAGTTTTTATTTATTCGCGATTCTGCCCATCCCAAGACAATTTTTACGTGAACGTGAAATTACTGTAAATTACATACTACTGCAAGTGTAACACTCAATATCAGTATTTCGAATTTCCAAAACTAGTCTTTTCCTCAGGTCCGCATAAAGGACGAATAACAAATTTACAGAAATGTATATTGACGTAAACGAACAATCAGCAGTTACTTAGAATATGGGGTGGCACCGTGTGGTTAACAACAAAGAGACAGAAATTTTTTTTATATTTAATACTACATGTAGTAACAGATTACAGTTCATCTCATTCATCGACGTCCAGGGGCTCAAAGTTTTTAAATTAGTCAATACAGTGGGCATTGTTTGCCTTCATGAAGGAATGCTATCATACTGGTATTATAACTTTTCCAACCCAACCATCTTCATGCTAAGATCCCACAACTTCTTGGCTGCATCATCATCCTGTGCACCCTTGGATTCCTCCACGATGGCGCAATCTTTCAGATACTTCCCGCTAACACCTTCCATTTCTTCTGAGACGGCACAGTAAATGGAGGTTTGGGCTCCCTGTGTAGGAGTCTTCAAAATATACCAACCAATGGGTAAAGCTAAGGTGGCAAGGATAGTGTGTCGACCCAGTTCAGTACTAACTGCCCCTGGGTGTAGTGCATTCACAGTCACATGGGTACCCTCAAGGCGTTTGCTCAGCTCACGTGTGAATAAGACGTTAGCAAGCTTGCTGTTAAAATAGGCGGCCCAGCTGTCATAGCTTTTTTCGTAATTTATATCTTCAAAATTTATCTTGCCACTACCCATTCTGTGACCTTTTGAAGATACGTTTATTATGCGACTCGGCTGTGAGCTCTTTAGTCGGTCAAGGAGCAGCATCGTCAGCAAGAAATGCCCAAGATGATTCGTACCAAACTGCATCTCAAATCCATCTTTTGTCTTCTGATATGCGCAGGCCATCACTCCAGCGTTGTTGATCAGAATATCTAGACGGGGTTCGCTGTTGAGAACTTTGTCTGCAAACTTGCGAACTGACTCCAAAGAGGCAAGATCTATCTCTTCAAGAAAAACATTTGAGTTTCCGCTTCGTTCTTTTATTTCATTCAGTGCTTCTTTACCCTTTTGGAAATTTCTGCAGCCAATTATGACCCTTGCTCCACGGCTGGCTAAATCCACTGCGGTTTCTTTACCGATCCCAGTGTTTCCACCAGTGATAACAACAGTTTTACCTTGTAGGCTTCTTTTGCTATTGCATTTAGGGCCTTGGAAGTATCTTCGCCCTGCATAAAGAGCTACGATTGCTGCTGCACCTATTACAGCTGGAAAAGCCATGATTTTCACACCAACCGTATGTTTACCTTTGGAGTCACGCGATATAAACAAGCCTCGTCTCCATAATCGTTCCCAGAGGTCAACGCAAGCTCAGTTTGGAAAGAAGATCAATATGGCGGATGCTTATGAAGGTGTCAGTCGTGGTTCTTTAAAGCTAAAAGGAGTCGCGGACGGGGGTGTAAAAAAGTAAGAGACTGTTTTCTGGATCCTTTCAACTTTTAAGAAAAAATTGTAAACGAAAGATTATTCTTGTTTGACTTTTTAAGATTTTTTTCGTAACATCTTTCTAGCGTGTTTGAGGCCTCTTTATACTCTAGACAAACTCCCTTCTTGATAGCCCGGGCGCCACGTTTTCTGGTATGATAGATCTCCCATATCAAAATAAGATGGGTTATTTCAATTTTCTTGAGAAGAATTCATTAGACTACAGTGTGTTAGAATTATTTTGGACAAGTAGCGGAAATTGACACTCGAACAATTACACAGTTTTTCATTTTCATCAAAAATTTGTCTTTAAACTTTGGACTGAAAGTGTTGTGAGTCTTGATCTTAAGACTTTCTTTAAACTAAATAGGAAAAAGAAGAAAAACAAGGAGAAGAAAAAGCTCGAGGAAGCGGCTGCAGAGAGCATGGCTAAAGGAAGTAATCAGGAAAAACAGAATTCAGCTTCTGAAGATTCAAGAACCCCTGCGCAGAAAGCCTATGATAAAATCCAAGAAAAACGAGTAAATTTATTACTTAGCTTGTTTTCTTATTATCCCCTTGACTCTTGCATTTTTTAGCTTAAACTGCTGTAAAAACAACAGCAACAACAACAAGAACAATTTATTACAACCACAACAACAGAAAAAAAATTTCTGTGATTTAAAAATATATATTCTATAAAAGCGATTTTTGTATGACCATGAATTGAATATGCATGAAAAAAACAAAACACAAGAATACAATGTAAATAGAGTGATTTGATTGGTTTAATGATCAAATACAATTTGTGCAGATGGCTTGGTTAGTTCTGTGAACTTTCTAGAAATCAAATGATACCTCGCTTAGTTCTCATTCTCTATTCAGCCCAATTAACAAACACTAAGTTTTAAGTAAACAGAAACCATTTTTAAAGGTCATACAAAAATTGCTCTTTGGTTTGTTGATTGGATTGTATTTTCTGAATGCATTGTGAAATTCTACCCAGTCTAGCGTGCAAGCTAAGAATTCCCTTTTGTCAAAAGGCTACCAGGTATAGCTTGTATGTAGACCTCTCCTTAGTCTATGAATACAGCTGCCTCTTATTTTTTCGTGTCAATTCATAAGAGTGGCCATGAGATGTGGCCCTACTCACAGGCTAATTTTTCTTTCTTTGTCTTTGTTGTGTGAAGCAGAGAAGGTATTCTTCATATTTATAATGTTATATGTTTTCCCTTTTCATTTTCTACAGGCTGCAGAAAGGATTCTGAAAAAAGCAGAACAGACTCATAAGCAAAGAGTTGAGGTGAGCTTGGAAATTCCATTGTTAAAAGGAATAGTTACAAAATGATTATTACATTAAATTATTGCATTAATTCACATCTCTGAGATACATACAGCATTCACAAATAAGTTGACTCTGATTGGAGTCACCATTCAGCTCAATTCACACTTTGTGTTAGAATCAAGTATTACAAATCAGCCATTGAGAGTTGAGTCTCGAGTTGAGACTTGCAAGACATATGAATGTGCTTTTCTGATTTCTCGGTATGCATAATTTTATGTGAATCAATTCTCCATCCCTTTACTCAATTCTTGAAACTTTAAAGTTAATGCAAGGGTCATGTATTAGGTGTCAAGTTGAACAGTATTATACAAGCAAAGTTTCAATGTCAGACGGTGATGACAGTAGCATAAAAATCCAGATCTTAAAAAAATCACATCAGTCTGTTATCAAAACTACTCCTTGGACTAGAATTTCTTATTTCAGTCAAAAAGTCCCTCCTTCCATAGAATTGTCCCCAGATTGTATGTTTGCCAAAGTACAATAAATTGATTGTCTTTCTTTTCATAGACTAGCTTCAGCTACTTATATTTAGCTTTTTGCTTTTTATTGTTATAGAAATTTAATGAATATCTTGATGGGCTGACAGAGCATTATGACATCCCTAAAGTCAGTTGGACAAAGTAACCATCCCGGATGTGTCTTCGTCAAAATGGATAGTAATCAAACCACTGCTCAGAAGAACCAACATAATTTTATGTCAGCTACATGTTCTCATGCCTGAATGCTCTCTCAGACATTAAACCAAGGCGTTTATTGTGCATGGATCATCACATCTTGTATTTTCTGCTTCTTTTTTTTACCATTAAAGAAATTTAAGCCTGTCAGTAATGAAATTGAGCTCATTCAGCAAACAGTTTTGCTTCTTAATTAGCTTTAATTTTTTTCTAAGAAAAGTGTACATTTTTTCCATTTGTATATTAAATTATTAAACTGCAGTTTTTGTTTCAAGTGTTGATTGATGTCACGATAGGACTTTTTTATAGTTTTTATGTCAATGGGATTGATCCGTTGTACATTTCAATGAGAAAGATAAACAAAAGTGGAATTCTTGTAGCAGTGGTAAAATGACATCATTTTTGACCTGATGTTGAAATGATTTTAAGCATGAAACAAACTGAAATGACAAACGAACATGACTGTGATTGTGCATCAAACAGACTTGCCCTGTATGGGATTGCAACAAATTCCCAGCTGAAAAAAGACTGCTGAAAATTCATTTTCCATAACTTGAGGCACCTGAAACTGGGCTGGCACTAAAAGGTCAGGTTTAAAAAAAACCTGCACCTTTTTCTTAAGATGAGTAAGTTCATAGCTGGTCACGTGACCAAAATGTGATTTCTAAAATTATGAATTACCTCTTTCTTAACACAAATTTTGTACATAAACTTCAATGAAACTGTGGAATAGATGATGAGGTATCTGTTACAGCAAATCTGAGCATAACTTGAATGTTTAACAAGATACAAGCAAAAAGTAGTTTTGGCCGCCATGTTGGAGGGCAAGAGTATGCCCTCCAAGATGGTATCCAGTAGAAATCATACTACTTTGTTGAAAAAATCAAAGTGCCATAAAATATCTCCCTCTCAAAATTTGGGTGTAAAATAATTTTTATGTGCTCTGTGAATTTTTGGCATCAGCAAGATTCCAACTCATTGTTTAAAGGAAGCTTTGGTCACGTGACCTCTTAATGCAAATGGCCTATGGAATAATCTTAAAGACTCTTTTGGCAGTGAAGTGACAACTTGATGTTTTGACCTTATAACTACTCACTGATAACACAAATCACAATCAAATATAAATACTATCTATTCATAGTGTTATGGAAACTGTTTTTAAGGTGAAATAAAAATCAATGAATCCTTGAAGGTTATGGAAAGGACCTCTGGGAAAATCTTTTCAAGCATAGCATATAGAACGTGTCAGTTTTGTATACACTGTAAATAAAATAAAAAAATCTGAAGTTAACACTGTGGTAATCTTTTACTGAACTTTACACAAGATTATCTGTTTAACATGGTATAGCATCATCAGAGGTACTTAAAGTGCATGCACATTATGTAATAAACAGATTTAATCAGTTTTTATGTTAATATAAAATAGGCTACAAGTTACTGTTGAACATTGTCTCTTTTACTGTCTTGTCTACTGCATCTTTGTTGGTAATAATAAAAATGATCACCCTTGTGGAATGCCTTACTGACTGTTTAATACAGTTTGAATTTTTAATACAGGTTTGACTAACCTAAGAGTTATTCAACAAAATGAAGATTGTGAAAAAGCAAAATCTCCATCCCATGACAAATCAGCCTCAAAATGATTCTACCTCTGTTACGCCAAAAGAAAACAAGTAAAAGACCACTTGACACCATACACAGTTTATCTGTTGTACTAGTATGGTACATACTGACAGAGTGGCCATTTTATAGAGGTGAAGACAATAAAAAATATCTCATGGGGACCTGAATACTGAAAATAGATGAGCTGTCAATACAGGTCAGTTTTAAAGTTATTAAGGAAAACTTTCTGGAACTTTGGTTAGTGACTGCTTCATAAAGAGTGATCGTTTAGTACAAGTTTGACTGTACTACAATTCACAGTACTGAGGTTATTTATCTTTCCTACATCAATAAAAGGCAGACATTTTAATCCCTCTGCTCACTGTACAATTTAAGTTACATTCCAAGGAATGGTTATGTAAGTGTTCAGCAAGTCTTTAAGAGAAACTCTAATTTATGATATATAAAATATATTATTTTTTCTGTTGAACACTACAGTAGTGTTAAAGGCCAAACTTTGCCTCCTGTTGTTTGTCAGTTAATTCATCAAGTAATTCCCCCACAGACAACTCAATTCTTGCATTACTTCCTACACCTTGAAACCTGTCCAGAAAACTTTTTGGAGGCTCACACCTTTCAAATTTAACATCTTTACCGAATCTCTCAATACACAGTGCTTTTAAATCAGAGCAAAACCCATCAGCTAGCCCCATAGAAACTGCATCCTTGCCAATGAAGAAGTCACCAGAGAATGCTGACTTATGATTGGGATCAAGACTTGGTCTCCTTTCCTTTACCAACTTTATAAAGTTGTCGTGGACACTGTGTAGTATCTTGGCTGTATGATCGACATCTGCTTGCTTGAGGGGTTTAAAGGGATCCATACGGACCTTGTTCTCCCCAGCTGTAATAAGTCGCCATTCAAGACCTAAACAAGACACAAATATAAGTTCACNGTGTTAAAGGCCAAACTTTGCCTCCTGTTGTTTGTCAGTTAATTCATCAAGTAATTCACCAACAGACAACTCAATTCTGGCATTACTGCCTACACCTTGAAACCTGTCCAGAAAACCTTTTGGAGGCTCACACCTTTCAAACTTAACATCTTTGCCGAATCTCTCAATACACAGTGCTTTTAAATCAGAGCAAAACCCATCAGCTAGCCCCATAGAAACTGCATCCTTGCCAATGAAGAAGTCACCAGAGAATGCTGACTTATGATTGGGATCAAGACTTGGTCTCCTTTCCTTTACCAACTGTATAAAGTTGTCGTGGACACTGTGCAGTATCTTGGCTGTATGATCGACATCTGCTTGCTTGAGGGGTTTAAAGGGATCCATACGGACCTTGTTCTCCCCAGCTGTAATAAGTCGCCATTCAAGACCTAAACAAGACACAAATATAAGTTCACTGTCTATTCACTATTGGTTTTACTTTGAACACCCGTGCACAGAACATTATTTGGCCATGATACACAGACATTTTTTCAGTAAGTTGTCTTGAAATTTTACTGCAACACAAGTTGCAAGACACACTGCTTTTGGAGGTGACACCCTCAAATATAGTTTTTGCACAGGTAACTCAAGCTCAATATGAGATTTTTATGTTGTGACCATGTATAACAGTGCATACTGATAACTTTAAAAATGCTGTAGACATAAATGGTTTAAGGATTTACTTGGCTTTTCTGTTTCTTCCCCTAAAGATGGGGCTGGAGTGCAAATGCTGGAGTCAAATAAATCACCAAAATCAGAAAATGACATTGAATGAGGACAAAAAAAAAACACACACACAGGAAGCAAGAACACATCATGGAAATAAGGTAAGACTTTTTATTGAGAACTTCTGTGAACAGTTCTTGATTCTATTACTGGGATTCCCATGCAAGTCCCTCATTTTTATGGCAATTTTGAGATTATGCAATCTCATACTGAGCTTGCACTTCCTGTGCTGAGTGGCATGCTTATTTTAGGTGAGGCTTCACAAGGCGGGGACTTGTGTTAACTTGCCTTACAACAGCACAAGAAAAAAATCAACAGACAATTTGCCAGAAAAATTGCCCACTGGAACAACTATTTCGTCCAACCGCTGACGCCCCTTACCCAGCCAGCCGCTGGACCCACAGGTCCGTATGAAATAAACTGTGCTGACTGTTTGAGAACGCTTTGAACTTACCTAGCTTTTTAATGGCTTCTTCGAAGCCAAAATTTCCAAACACGGCACCAATAGATCCCACCACAGAGTTAGGATCCACAAAAATTTCATCTCCCGCCAATGCAAGCCAATACCCCCCTGACGCAGCATAATCTTCAGTAAACGAGAGCACGGGAACTTCAGTCGCCTTTGACAAATTTCTTATTCTTTGATATATCAGACTTGATTGAACAGCACTGCCTCCTGGGCTATTAATCTCTAGGCAAACAGCCTTTGGTTTGACTTTTTTGATGTCAAATGCCTTGCCGAGGTGCTTGTCAATTTTCTGCAAGTTGAGTCCTTGTCCTCTGGACTGTGGCCGAATCGTGCCTTGAAGTCGTACAATTCGAACGACATTTTTCGCCCCCCAAGGTAAATAACTGCGAATCTTGCTCATGATTTAGCTCATAGATCTAAGCAAACTAAGAAAGTGCTTTGAGAGAGTTATATATAGTTATTTTCGCGAACGAGAAAGTGCAACTGAACGCAAATGTTGCACGATCAAAGAGTAAGACTGGAAACTGGTATTTTGTTTTGGGTGAGATTCCGCTGACAAATTATGAGCAAGCAAGTTTTAAGGAAAAAATGGAAGTTGCGTTTGTTTTTACGAGCTTTTGCTATTTCTGCTAGGCACAGAAAATTGCGAATAAGCCATAGTTGGCCAATGGATAATCAAAATAACCGTAGAACAGAAATCGATAATGAAGGAAACCATGGCGAAGCTACTGAGAAACCTTCGAGAATTTGTGATCAGGATTCAATCTCAGCAAACGTCAAATGCGAAGAAGATACTTCATCGCGCTCTTCATCGCAGGACTCGCAATCAAAACCAACACTAGGGAACTCTTCTCAGACCGTGGACCTTGTGGAAATAAGCAGCGATGATGAACTTCAAATTGTGGAAGTGACCATGACAGAAAGCGTCAAAAAAGCTGCTCCGGGCGATGGAACTGATCGTGACCAAAATCCAAGCTCGTCGACGACGACGTCTGGAAGAACAAGTCCAAAAGACATTACATGCTCTGTTTGTCTCAGTGAATATGAGAACAAAGCTTTTGTAGACAAGTGTTTTCGTATCCTTGAAGCTTGTATTTGTCTTCATTGGCTTCTTGCGTCATGCTAGCTTTTACAAAATTAAGGCTTATTCTAAGGTTCCGGTTGTTCAAAAGGTGGATTGCCGGATTTAAACGCAAGTAAATTCCTTCATGTGTATCTCACCCTTAATTGCTCCAATTAAGAAGTTCTTTTCCGGGTACTCCGGTTGGAGCAACTAAAGAATACAAGGCCACTCATGTCTACTTTGTC